GTATCATAAGTACATGAAAATAATTTTTAAGTTTTTCTGAAAGACTTAAGATGGTAAATAAGCAAATAAGCACACTATCATGGAAAGGAAATTCTGGAGCAGTATGGTCAAAATTATTCTAGCTCCAAATAGTCTTCTCCTATGACCAGGGGTACATACATATTCACCTCACAACTATCAAGGGAGGGAAAAAAAGTGTTTCCTGTTTCTACTTTCTCACTTCCAATTATGAAGATGATACTCTTGATAAATATGAAGTTCAAGGAAATTGAAAAATAATGTCCCTTGAAACTTCATCAAAAGCATACAGGAAATGAACATGTTTCTCAGAAGATATTAATTACACAACCCTGTTTTAAATAGTTTAATGTTTGTGTATTTACATTTGAAAGAGGTTTATTACATAAAGTTTTAGAAGTTGTTTAGTACAAGTATCATTTACTGCATTAAAAATTTTTGTCAATCATCTCTTTTCCTTAACTGAAAATCTGTCAATGCATCTATATCTGACTTTGACATTATCATATAATAATTGATGGTTGGGGGTTAAGAGGAGGAAGAATCAGCTACAGTTCTCATAATGGACGATTTCTACCTTCAAGATATTTTTAAGAAATATCAAATCAATCACAATGTCAGCAATGTCCTAGAAAGGAAAGGAGTTACACTACATAACAGTGCAGCCTGATATTGACCCAATTATCAGAGAAACAAAAGTTACACTAGTATCAGAATGAAGGGGGGAAAAATTACTCCTTTTGAGAGTCAACAAGTTCTAGGTATGTCAGCATTCCTATTACAAAATATGCAATAAAATAGAAGAAAGCTAAAATTTTAAATGCTTATTCATCTGCCATTTAAAGGCTTCCTGAAAAGTAAAAAAATTCAAAATGCAAATTAGATAAATACAAATATATACTAAATTATTCTATCTCACTTCATTAATAAAAATCAATTACTTTTCTGGATTATCGCACTAAGAAAACTATCTAAAGCACTCTACAGCTACATGAAACCATGACCTTTTTTCCCCCACTGCATGCTACAAAACTAGATTTCTCCATCAAAAAGCACCAACAGGTAACAATGGGTAATAAGCCACCATCTGAGGGCAAGGAAGTCATAATCTTCCAACAATTGCATTTTTAAATGCAGAGCCACATTTTATTTTCACCCATATACTTACTGAAGATCAGATGCAAAGCTACTACTACAGATGTTTTTCTTTATTTTCAATACCATTTATTTTCTAAAATGTAATTATGTCATCTTAAAAGGCACACTTTCAGATTTCTGTTTCATTCATTTAAATATTACAGCTTTTTGCTGAATGACAATCTAACATCTTTAAAAAAACATATGTATACAAGTCGCACATTTACACCACAAAGCAGCAGTTAACTAAGGACAAATGGAATTCCAGACAATTTCAATGTATGTCTGACAGAACTCATGAAAAGCATTGCTCATTTTTTCTGATCCTTTGGTAAAAGATCACACCACTTGTATGTTTAAAATAGGAGTCTGGAACCTGAGCTGTTAAGAGAAAGGGAACCACAGCAGGGTTACATCAAACAGTGGTAGACACTACAGTTCTAATTAAAGAGACTTTCTTCGTCATTTTCAAGTTACCCTTATCAAATGGCAAAGTTACTGAATTTTCATGTTTATCAGAGACTATTCCTTGTACTTTCAGAAGTATACTGCCATATTTTAATAAAACATATTGCTAGAACATATTGGAAATGAATTATTGATCCCCCCGAGTTGTTAAGATTAAACTTTTACAACCAATTAGTTTAAGATAAATTAAAGAGTTATGAAGTAAATTAAATCCCTAAATCATTTGCTGTTTATGATATTTAGATTGCTGGCCATATGAAAGTTTGTAACCACCTATGCAATAACAAAATATTAACTGAATTTCAAGGAACATGGAAGGGACTAGTGCTGCCTGATGCATTTAATATTTTATTAACAGCTATAAGCATATTTTTCATGACCAAAACACTGGAAACAAAGTGATTGCCACAGCCACCTAAGAAAATAAACAGAAACCTAATTTACATAGTTCTACAGGCAGTAGAAAGTGCACATATTTAAATATAGCTCCATTAAAACTTAGCTAGCACTAGGTAATAAAGAGTTATTCAATTAATCATAAACCAAAGCTTACAACACTAATTGGTGCATTTACAGACATGAATCATAAGAGTTAACAATGCAATGGTATGTTTACAACTTAAAGACAGACTGCTTGTACACTGTGTGATAAAAGAAAAAAAACACAGATTTAAAAATCAACATTCAATCATAAGAGAATGCTAAAGAAACTCTCAGTAGATGTCATTAGTCTAAAGTGAACTTATATTTTAAGTCTATATTAATTTGCTGAAGGCACACCTCAAATCCATCTACAAAGAGAAAACCTCACGACTAACCTATACAGTTCTACAACCATTTTTGATAATTGGTTATAAAACCAATTTGTACAATGCTGTAAAAGAGCCAATGGCCACTATTGCAAGTATCTTGACAAGTATGTTTTCTCTCAACAGTGTTCGAAAGGTAACTATTTACAAAGAAACAAAGAGGTCAGTCTTGAGTCATACAAATACTGTAGGTTTCTCTGAAAATATTATTCAAACAGCAATGTTACTTTATTATACAAATACCCATCATCACAGTTATGTAGTTCAAGACCTACTAAATGCTGAATTCAGTACTTTGAATTTTAAGTTTAGCACACATAGAAACACTTCCACTAATCTACAGTCCTCCTCTTCATTACATTTTGTGGCTTTTGCCTACTACTGAGGGAACAAAACCACAAATAAAACAATCTTCCGGAGTTGCTAGGGCATGTCTGAATTATGATTTGTTTGAAGTGAAGATTTTTTTTTAAAAAAGGATGTATTTTTGAAGCAAACCAGTTATTTGTGAAATATCTCAAAATTTTGAAAATTTAGAAAATATTGTGTGAAGGCTACAGAGGTACACTATAATCTTAGTCCTCCTGAAACATTACAAAATTACAACAAATCACAGAAACAGAATGTCTGGAAAGGGCCCATGAGGATCACTGAAGCCCAGATCCTGGTTCTGTGTCCAAGAACAGAACCTGAGAGTGTTGAAGAACAATACCTGAGAGTATTGATCAAACACTTCTTGAACTCTGTCAGGCTTGGGAGTTGTGACCACTTTCCTGGGGAGCCTGTGCCAGGGCTCAACCACCCTCTTTTCTTGTATCTGATCTACATCTTCTCTGAGACAGCTTCAGGCCATTCCCTCAAAACCTGTCACTGGTCAATGAGTGACTAAATCAGTGCTTGCCTCTCCACTTTCCCTCATGAGACCACAGTAAGGTCTCCCCCTCAGTCTCCTCCGGGCTAAAGAAACCAAGTGTCCACTTGTTCTTATCACATAGCTCCCCCTCCAGACGCCTCACCATCTTTGTGGCCCTTCTGGATGCTCTCTAAAAGCTTTATGTCTTTCCTATATTGCACACAGGACTCTAGGTGAAGCTTCACTAGCACAGGGTAGAGTGGGACAATCACCTCCTTGACTGGCTGGTGGTTCTGCACCTGATGAAGTGGTACCAAAGCCTGAAAATGTCAAAGTCGCTCCCTTACATTTAATATTAGTTAAGAAAGCAGTCCATCACCCCAGCATCGAGATACCATAAAAGGTAATGATACTTATTTAGGGCACAATCCACTTTCTTTTTAGGAAAAAAATTCAAAAGGCATTACATACCCAATTGGGATATTCATCTAGCCTCCCAGCAACAAAACTTTCAACATAACTTATTTCAGAGTCATGCAATAGAACTACAAAACTGGTTTGGGGTATGACTGGCACTGTTCTACATGAGATGCAACACACATGTTGAACAATTAGGAATGTACAACAGGGGTGAAACCACCACAGTACTAGAAATCTAAGAGAAGTAAACATTTCACCTGCTTCACAGCTTCATGTGCCAGCTTCAAGTGAACAAATTCTCCAATTCATATGTCTCAAAGCCCTTAGCATAAACCCTAAAATTTGGGGGTTTTTATTCAGTGAGTGGTGTGACATGATGAACAGAGATCATTAGCAACAAACCATACTGATGGCAACTCCCACTTTTGAATACTTGCATATCATCTAACTGGTAAAAACATCTCCTGAAATGTTTTTAACCATGAGACAAATAACACATTTACAATTACTGGCAAGTCTGGAAAGCAAGTAAATATAAGAAAAGTAAATATTGTAGCCGATGCTGAGCAAAGTCTTATGATTAGGGACCGTACATAAGACAAAGTAAACAAGTACTATGAAACTGCTTGAATTAAATGCTTTTCCCTTGTCTGATTTCTTGAAATGCCTCCAAAACTAAAAATTTCTCTACAGAGCTATCACATTTATTCTCCCTTGCAGAAATGAACTACAAATTACTTTTTTTTAGGAAATGCACTATGAGAAAGGTCAAAAAATTATTTCGACACTATTCAAGTCATCACTGTATCACTTCTGTTTTTCACAGTTCCACAAAAGAGAAATCGAATCAAGGAGAAAACCTGCTTTTAACACTAATCATGCAGTTAACATTTCATTAAAGCAGAATTTGAATTGAAATGCTATGTTAAATAAAGTATGCTTCTTCTCTAATTTCTGGTCCTTTTTGTGACATCCAGAAACTGTAAAAATCTAAACAAGAAGAATTAAGTTATGGATAATGGACTCAATTCAGTTTTCATTTGCACTGAAGAAGTAGAACATGTCTACTTATTCAGGCCTACCTTTGTATTGTGATTGAACAAATGGCTGAACTAATAAACAAATTACAGGAACTTAAATCTTTTCATTAAGAGCCAGTTATATCAAGTAGACACTTTGAGTAAGAAATACTACTTTCTGATTTAACACTTGCAGACAGAAATTCCAGATGAGTGAAAAGCGAGGCTTCTGAAAACAGAAAAAAGAGAGCTACTGTAACAACACTGATTTCTTACCCTACGCATGGCTTCCTCCTCCTCTTGACGCTTCTCATAATGTGCAAAGTCATCAAAGATTGAGGTGGTATGCTTGAAAGTAGCAATTATTTTAAGCACTTGCTTGGCTTTTTCTAGGGGTACCTCTTGAGTGTCCCTCGAATTGGTAACTGGTTTGTTGTCATTGTTTTCCAAGCGAATATGTCGCAGTTGGTTATTGGGAACGTCTTTGACAAAGATCCATTTGACATCAAACTTCCCCTTCCACTTATCCTGAGACCAGACACCAGCATATGCATTGTAGTCCACAACAGACTTCATCTCAGCCACTCCGCAAAAGTGTCCACTGCCATTCACACTGAAGAGTAAATAGAGTGGGCCTTTTCCATTCAGGGACCGGTAAGCAGCATCCAAGCGCTTATTCCCATGCTCAGTACTACACCAGATAGAGTACTTAATGGAGCGATGAATATCGTCCTCTGAATAACTTTTGATTATAAACACACGTCCATTCTTCAGATTCCAATCGAAGTCTTTGGGATTGTAGTTGTTTATGGCCTTTAGTTTCTCCAGCACTGGGTGCACTTCCACACCAGAAGGTGAGGAGCTGACAGATACAACACCTAAACCAAAGTTCTCACTACCAGCTCCGTTGTTCTGGCTGAAGCCCACACCCCTATTACGAGGAGCTACCCAGCGGTTTTGCAGCTGTTGTTGCTGCAACTGGTGAGGCTGGGCCTGCTGCTGAGGTCCTTGTTGCTGTTGCGGTTGCTGTGGCTGAGGCTGCTGTTGAGGCAGTTGGCTTTGCACCAGTGGTGGTGGTTGAATTAATGGCTGAGGCTGCTGGATTATAGTCTGAGGAGGCAGTACTGGTTGAGCTGGGGGTGCTTTTACCACTGACCCTTTGTCATCCCAAGTTCCAATATTCATGTTGTGTTTTATGGGTGGTGGCGGTACAGCAGGGCCCCCAGTGCCCACATTACCTTTAGGCTTGAGTTTCGGCTGAGGTTTAGCAGGTTTCCTTGCAATTGCAGCCCATGAGGTTGGTTTAGGTGCTGAACTGCTAACTGGGGGCACGCTGTTAGCTGCAATGCTTGTCATACCTGTACTGCTCAGAGCTGAACCTACAGTTTTTGTTACAGCAGCCGTCATATCTCCACCGATTTTCAGTCCAGTCATGCCTTGCTCAATACTGCTAATCCCAGGCACCTTGCTCAGAGTATCACTGCCAAATCCAGCCTGTCCATCTGCTATGGCTCTCCCAAGAGAACTAGGTGGATAGCCATAGCTGCTGCTATAAGCAGAGCTTTGCGTTGATTGTCCCTGAGATCCACTCGTCCCCCATGTAGAGAAGTCTGCATTCCCAGGAAAAAAATTAAATCCATGCTGCCCAAGAAATGGAGGGGTATTTCCTAATGCCCCAGGTTGACTAAATACACCATCAGGTATGTAATGGTGTTCACCATTGCTCATCTGTCCATAAGTTGTCAAATATGGCATTGGAGGGTCACCTGCAGTTGACCATGCTGCTTCACCTAAAGAGTATGGAAATCCAATGGATGGAGCATAATAGCTAGGCATATATGGGTCTGACATTGGTGGATAGCTGTTACTCTGCAAGAAAAAAAAAATTTAAAATCAGCAATACTGACAATTATGCTCAAGGGGAAAAAACCTGTAATACAGTCCAAAACATTTTTAAGAGTTATATTAATGTATCTGTAAATTCCACCATTCCTCACATCATAAAAGATGAGTGAGTATCTGCTAGATATGGCCATTTCTTCAAGAGATCTTCTCAAAGCATTAAAGGGCCCCTTTTTGTTCTGGAACATTATCCTCATTTTTTAGCTACTAAGCTAGGTTTAAAATGCCTCCATGCCAACAGTACAAAGAAAATAACAGACTACTCTAAAACAAGTCATAACTGTACCTTTATAACTAAAGAAAAATAGCTGCAACTATGATTTAAAATTGTGGTATTCTTTGATTTTGTCGTATTTCTCACTTCTAATTGAAGACTCCAACAGAATATTAGAGTGAAATGGATGCAAGGATGTCTGTTTGCTTCAGGAGTAGCAAAAAAAAAAAGAGGTAACATATCCATGCTATGGAGAACGGGCATTAAATCAGTACTACCCCAGACAGACTCCTGGGAAATCACACAATTTATTTCTTGAGACATTTGAAGGACTACCCCCATATGATTTCTGCTGGTTTTTTGTAGAAAAAATTGCACATGTCATCCTCTAGCTGATGCTTCCTTAATGCTGAGTTATTGGGGAAAAAAAAAGTGAAGGCAAGCAAAAATTCTTAGTCTTTTAATAACTTGGACTCTCTCTCTCAAGATCATGCCAGTTTACAAACTTAACATATCTCACATTAACTTTCAACTACAGAGGCAATTCACAGCTCTGGAAGTCAAGCCATTAGCTTCTTGGCAGAAGAACTGTACCAAGCTGTAGTGATATCAAGCTTCCATCTATTATGCCATCAGCTGTGAGCTACTTCTATCACCTTTAAAGGAAACCATATCCAAGCAGTTAATATATTCTCAGAGCCAATAAAACTGTTGTTTTGGACTGAATCCAAAATTATGATTTTGTTTTAAATGTATGGGTTTGGGGTTTGTTTTTTAGCTCAAGTTTCTTGTAACTGCGTCTTTCTGAAGCTAGAACAGAAGCAAAAGAGGAGGACATGAAAGTATGCTTTTTAACTGAAGCTTTTCCAGAATTTTTAATAATCCTTCATCTGCTTAAAATTCATGATAAGATGAAATATGACATAAAATTATATTTCTGTGTATATTCAGGTAAGTCAGTAATGGTAAGAAATATCCAAAAATTAAATCTGGAGTCAGCTAAACGTCGAAGTTAACTTCAAGGTACTAATCAATGTTCACTTACCTGATTTGTCTGACTACTTAGATATGGCTCAAAATCATCATCATTTACTGCATCCTTTTGATGAATCGAACCGTTTTGTACTGAAACTAAAAATAAATCTGTATTAGAATAGTTCCTAGAAAATCTATGCTGCACTTTCAATCTAGGTAACACTTCTAAATCACCTGTACATTGAAAAACATATTATTTTTAAGTACCATTCCAATTTAAACAAAATAACTCATTCTACTGACCATGAGGATCAAATCTCAGGAGAGGTCCGCAAAGATGGCAGCTAGAACAGTCTGTTCCTGACTATTCTTTCCTGAGACCCACAGACATGTGGATGAAGAACTACAGGCACACCTTATTTGCACAGGCAGTAAATCCAGCATTTCCGGAAGTACCAGACCAAGTGCAAATGTGCAGACCAACCCGATCTATAGACGTATTCAATAGGTTCAGGGAAAGTTGCAACATACAGCTTTCTCCTGCCAGGAGGAAAGGCAGCTACCCACCAAGACAACCATGAAGGACATCACTATCCAAATATTTAATCCTGTATTTCTACATAACTGTACTGCATTAGTGACATCTCTGAAGCTCTGAGGTGACAAAGCAAGACAGAAATAAAAGCTTAAGTCCCAAAGGGTGATTACAAACCTTTCCCAACACATATGCCACTATATGCTGGAATCTCTTCCTACCTGCTCTCCTTGGTCTCCTATTAACCTTTCATTTCATCTATTACACCTACCTGGGATTCTCCAGCTGCCAATATTACTTGAAGAGTCTCTCTACTATCCCTCAGGCTACTATTCAAACAAAGCCACACTACACAAATTTCTGCTAAGTTCCACTGTTTCCCATGGTGCAAAGCAGAACAGTGGCTTAAACCAGCACTTTCAACCTGAAGATGAAGATCTGTTCTCAAAAATAAATTTACTGATTATCCAAATGCAACTTTTTTTCTTTTGTCAAATATGTTCAGTGGGGGAAAAAAAAGTCTCAGGATGATCAGTAGGATGCACTGAAAAACCATGACTGCCGAAGTTACAACAAAACAGATTTTCTGAAACTTAAACTGAGTTAGGAGCCAATTTTATGGGCTCCCTCTTTTAGCACAAGCTTCTGAAAAGCATATACAGCCATGTAATGAAGTATTCAACTTTGCTGAAATTAGTGTTTAAGAGTCAGGGGTTTTTCTTGCTTCACTAGGGGAGGGGGGTTGCCACCCAAAATTCACATTGTAAACCAAGTGGTGCTTGAATTTTTTTCCACATTGACTTCAACATCCCTAAAACAAAACTGCCTTCAGTGAAACTAGCTGAAAAAAATGACAAAGTAATAGATATAATCACAAGGAATAATCAAAATCCTGGAAAATTTTATTAACTTCAGAGAGTACTAAAATAAAAAAGGTAAAAAATTCATAATTTAGCACAGAAGGTTTTTTCAAAGCAATTATCTGGGAAGAAAGTAATCTGTGTTTTGAATACCTTCTTGAAGTTTTAAAAGAACATCAGACACTTTGTAATAACTTCAGTTACTACAAGCTGGCACACTGCATTTCTATACTAGCAACAGTCAAATATAACCAGCAATGCTGAGCACAGTGCAGTTTATAAGTAGATAGAACAATATCCCTAATTAAACACCACATTTAAATTAAATATTAGATGTTGGGGGTTCTTTTACCCCATAAACAGAGTTTCAGTTCAGGTCATGGATCATCCTGAATTTACACACAATGGTAACATATTAATGAGCTGGAATTCCTCTTTATATTTGGCTCAGTTACACACAGGATGAAGCCTCAAAACATTTTGTCTATGTCACGTCCACTGCTCAGACTTAACCAAATAGAACAGACAGCACAACTCTCAAACACAATTCTATTATAATGAAAAACATGGGCAACAGCATACAAGTTCCTTAAAAGTATGCAACCACAAGTAAAGGAATAAACAAATGTATATCAAGACTAGCATCCCATCAAAATTAATCTCCTCATACTGACAGCTAATCTTCATAAACCATCATCTGCTGAGCTTATTGTTCCACAGGTAACTAAAGGTCACTGAAGACAGAATTATTTTTGGTCTGACATTACAACTAACAAAATATTCTTGTAAATATATTTTCTTTCTTATTCATTCTGTACCGAGATATTAAGCAAGTGACACAAAATATTTCTACAGTGATGGTTTTGCTGGTGAAATATATACATTTCCCAGTGAAATAGCATCACTAGAAGCATGTTTCTTTAGCTCTTCATTCTAACTTTACAAAATGTGTTAACAGTGAAGAATGTAGCCCGCACAGACATTTAACAAGAGCCATTGAATGCCTCATTCCCAAAATCTCATGTTAAGTGTTCCAACTGAACAGGGCAGTGATAAAGAATACTAATTGAAACTAATCTACAGACATTAAAAATATCTGTATCAATAAGATTCTAAAAATACCGTATGTTTCTGGAAACACTGTGAAAACATACAGTGTAATTAGATATTGGGAAGAAGCAACTCATCAAACAGAGCAATTTAAAGCTAATATTCTTTTAACTGCTACTATCCTTGGAATAACCACTTACAAAAAATGATAGCCCAAGGTGCAAGAATAACTTTTTCATTAGAAGTCATCAGACCTTAATGTGAAGAATAAACACTAAAAGAAACATGAAATATTTAATTCTTGTTTTAAATCTTATTATTACATTTAAGCCTCCTACAAAACAAAAAATTGTTACACACACAAGTGTAAAAATAAGTCAGCACCTTCTATGACAGATTTGATACACTGGCATAATAAACAAAAGGGGGGAAAACCAAAAATGAGTTCCAGGAATGCCTTTTTTATTCACATCCCTATAAGTCATAATTTGATGGATGTCAGTTTTATGTCAACTGTACAGTAGATGACAACTAGAATAAGTAAAGTTTCATGACAGGATGATTTACTCATTCAAGTCTCTGAAATACCAACACAAATATCTGACACAACAGATAGACAGTACTGTTCTACACACCAGAACTTCAGTCCCACAAATTGTGGCTGAAGGAAACAGCACAGTATACCAGTTTATGATCAATTAGTTCAAAGAATCCAAAGTATTTTACTAGAAAATAAAAATCAGCTACCTACCAATATAATTTGCAGGTCTAATATTTTTCATTTCAATATGAAATATGTATACACCCCCTTTTATTGCTCACTCATTCTCTTATATGTTCTATGTGGACAGCTTCTGCCATCCTCCTTACCATTACTACTCTTAGGCACAGAACCAGTTTCAGATTGGTCTGTTAACTCAGTATCACATCTTCCCTCAAAGCTCCTCTAAGCTGAAACCTACCACGACAACTGAAAGACTATTGTCTGCTAACATGCAGTCAGTATGGACTGCTGACACTGACTGAATTCAACCACTTGAAAAAGCTTCTAGCCCAAAGCCAACAACTTTTGCTACATTGAAAATGTTAGCACAGTCCCCTACACCTTTAATGCTAAATCATAACTTAGTTTCACTAAGTAGATATTACACCAAATAATTTAACAGAACAGAGATTAATTGTTCTGTTTCACTATTATTTTCACTTAGGTCATAGTCTCACCAAGAGAATACATCATGAGTATTTGTTATTTAAAAGGATGCACTACATAAAAAATCCAAATTCAGAAATGCAAAAATCTCTTCCTTACATAGCAAGCAGAGATGTGTTTTGATTCAAACATTCCACAGCAGTGACAAATTATAGAACACAAGAATATGCTAACAAAAATAAGTGAAAGTAAAGCTGACTAGTGCATTTTCACACACTGCAACATACCACCCAAATAGAAATGCTTAATACTTCCAGTCCAATTCACATATACAGAGTACAGTTCAAAAGCTACCTGTGTGAGTCTCTAACAGATGCACCTAATTAACCTCACTTAAACTGAGAAATGATATTTTAAAGATTGTGAAGCCACGAACTACTTGCTACAACAAGTCTGACTTTTCTTCTCATTTAAGGGCAACATGGAAGGTTACAACCACAAACTATTTCAATAACATGAAACAGTTAATAAGTGCACTTTGAGCAAAAAAAAAAAAAAGAAAACAAGTATTCAGGAACAATCAAACTAAGCATGTCTGAGGAGGTAAACACGTTCATTTTTCTCTGAAGGCAGAGAAATCAGAAAGAACAGGCCTCAATGAGATCTGGGAACCATGTGCCACCTCACAAGCAATACATGTAACAAGAAGCAGATAGTCTGCACGTAGACAGAATAATAGAATAAGTATGCTGTGAATAACATTAAATGACAGCTCACAGAGAACAATTAAATTAGTTCAGATAATGAACTAAGAGGGGCAAAGAGTACCCAAGCTCAAAAAAAAGTTCTTATCTGCATAAGCATAATAAGCATATTAACACACAGAGGTAGTTACGTGCATGCTGTTCTATAGCTCAGTTTGCTGAGCAGCTAAGAATTAAATAGGCACAAAGTAGACTGTTTAGGCAGAAAGAAATTCCAAATAGACTATTAGTAAGAAAACAAATTCCAGACAAAATATGCAAGATATAATCTGAAATGCTGTTTACAACTGACTTGCCAAGAATTTTTAGATAAAAGAATATTAAGTAGTTAGTAGTTCCTTCTGTAGGAAATAAATCCCACTGAGTATGGTATTTAAAAACTAAGACCTTGACAGAAACATTAAAAAAAATCAGAAAAGCAGAAGGCCTACAAACACAGACAAAAGATCAGTTACTGGTGCTAAAATGAAGCAAGACTACAAAAATTTTGAGAATAAGGAAGGTGATGTTTTCTGCTCACAGATATGAGTAACTAGTCACATGGTTGCTGTCTAGCAAACTAAGGAAGCTGTTCAGATGATTCTTCCTGATGATTCTACTCACTACACAGAAAGACCCAAGGTGTACTGTTAAGAAAAGATTATACAAGCATATCACAACGGCAGCTAAAAAGAAGTAACTATTTAACTGTCTGACTTCTGACATTAATCTTTTGGAAAATAACACATCGTAAACCTATATACTGCTGTGCCACAGTAAAAGTGCTGGGAAGTAATATTTTGGCACACAATTTACTGTCATCCTGCTCTGAAATAAAAGACACCCTATAGTTACAACCTCTTGCTATGATTGTCAGACATTATACTCTATAAAAGCAATATTACAGAATTTTACAGAAATACAAGGACAACTTACCTTTATTTCCCTGTCCTTTAGGTCTCTGTATATGGGAAAGGGGGGAGGGGGGGGGAAGCAAAACAAGGTCAGTTAGAATCCTCTGGCATCAACTTCACTGTAATTCTATTTATTTGCCAATTCTGCCCTTTTCAACTTAAAGATCACTTTAAATTACTAAACCATGCTATTATGAAAATGTTGTGACATTACTTAAAATAACAAAATCAAAGCCTGATAGAAGTTAACTAAAAATATTGAAATAACCTAGGACTTAACAGCATGTGAAGTTTAAATGGTGCTGAAAAGCTGAACAAGTGAATTTTAATTGCCCCAGGGCCTGAAAAACATCAGCAATAAACAAAAATAACACAGAATCTAAAAAAAGGTTAGTACCTAAAGATTACTACCAACACCCAAATTGCATTATGATATGTCATCTTTTGAATTGACTGAGAGGTACTAATCACAGAATAGCATACAAATGCCTTGCTTTTTAGATATACAAAAGAATAGAGAGTTGTATCATATGCTGAACTTCAAGTTGTGCATTCCTCACCTAGGCAATTATACAGTCTGTACCAAGCTTTCACACAAGGAAATAATTCCTTAAGGAGGACTTTTTTTTTTAGGATTAGTCATTACAAAACACTGTTAATCTGTCATGCACTAAGAATCAATGTAACATTACAAGTTACAGTATCTTTAATTCCTCTACAGCAAGACAAAATAACTTCAAAAAAACAAACGCTATTCCATGAAAATCTAATTCACCTTCTCATATTACTTTCAACTAAGCAGAAGCGGATCTCCAGGCTCCATAATTCTCCTAACAATTTTTAGCCCTGAAGAACTCAGTATTCAGAGTTTTGAAAGTTTAGGAGGTAACCACCTCCAAGTTACTTTCATGAGAATTTGTCTCGGTTGCCATAAAACTGTTCAACACTTCTTCAGCTAGAGGTACACTGGTTAGACACTACCCTCTCCCAATACGGGAAGAATCTCTGAAACCTGAAAAACCCCAACCACCTCATCTTTTGGGATGACTCTAATCCAGACACAAAGGCATGCAAAAGCCAACAAGAGACACAGAACTAGAAAAAGTTGGGAAGAAGCAGCCCTCATGAAAGACAGAACAATGAAAAGCTAAGAGATCACTGAGCTAGAAATAAATGCTTAAAGGAAACTGGAGAGCATGCACAGAGACAAAAGAAACAGAACATTAAAGGCACAGAGAGAAAATAAAAGGAGGCAAGAGACTGCAGGGCTAAAACTTTTGGGGAGTGGCAGAAACCCACGGAAGAAGCAGATATCAAGACAGAATAGCTTCCAGCCAGAAAGAAAGACCATAAGAGGCCTAGCAAAGGTAAAAAAATAACAAATTCTAAGCACCGTGAAGGACCAAGTTTACAAAAGTGCTACACAGCGCAAAGAGAAAAACTGAGAACTACTGGAAGAAGCGAAGGTCGAGGGAAAAGGAGAAGTCAGAGGCCCGAAGGGAGAAAGGTGGGCGAGGATAGCGAAAGGCAGGAAGATGCGGTAACGGGGAGCCTGGGGTGCGCAAGGAGAGGAGTCGGCGGCAGGCGCCGCGGGGAGCCCGGCTCTACGGCGCTCCGGAGCGAAGACCCGGCAGCCCGGGGGCCTGGCCGGGCAGGGCCGGCTCCCGAGAGGTCACGCACAAAGGGGGCCGCGGGCGGGGGCCGGGCCGGCGGCGCTCGGGGCTGAGCGCGGCGGCGGGCGCTGCGGGCGGGCGGGGAGGCGGAGCGGCTCCGGCGCGGCTCCGCGGTTATAAATAGGGGCGGCCGGGCCGGGAAGGAGGCCCGCACCCCGGCTGCGATGGACAGCCGCTCCCCATGGCGGCGGGGAGGGAAGGACGGAGGGAAGGAAGGAGAGAAGGAAGGAGGAGGCCGCGAACCGCGCCGCCCCGGCGGCGAGGGAAGGTGCAGGTGGCCGCCCTGCCGCCGCCCTCCCCCGCCGCGGGTAGCGACGGGGCCGGGAAGAGGGGAGAGCGGGCGGCCGCCCCCCGCCCCGCGGGCGGTACCTGGTCGACGCTGGTGGCTGACATTCTTCACGGGGAGCCGCGATCCCCTCGCTCCGCTCCGCCTGGGCCTCGAGTGATTCCGCACGCCGGGGCCGCTCGCTCGCCTCCGCCGCCTCCTCCCCACCGCCGCCGCCTGATTGTCGTCGCCGCCGCCGCCGCCTGGGCTCGCTGCCGCCGCCGATCGGGTTCCCGCTGGAAGGAGCCGGCCGGCCGCACGCAGCGCCGCTTCCCCCCCCTTGCTCCGGGCTCCGCTTCCCCACAATGGCGGACGAGGCTCCGGCTCCCACTTCCGCTCCGCGCCGCCCTGACCTTCCGCTCCCCCCGCCGCCGCCGTCGCCGCTGACCTTTCCCTTCCCGTCCCCGCCTCCTCCATGTCACGTGGGGCGCCAAGCCGCGCCGCGCGCGCGCGCCCTCCCGCCGCCCAGCGGCTCCCGCGGCGCGGGGGGGCGGGGCCTGGGCGGGGGGCGTGAGCGCGCGTGCGCGCGGCGGGAGGCGGCGGGCGGAAGGAGCCGCGGCTGTTCCCGCCCCCGCCGGCCGGGGAGCGCGCGCGGCTCGGGAATGGCCGGGGAGGGGCGGCGGGGAGCGGTCTGCCCGCTCCGCCGCGGGCTGCCGGGCAGGGCAATGGGGAGCGGGGAGCGGTCTGCCCGCTCCGCCGCGGGCTGCCGGGCAG